GGCCAAAATCTCCAGGCCCGTAAAGTCCGCGGAGATGCGGATATCGGGCCTGGACGACAGTGTTACGTCGGAGGAAGTGGTCGCTGCGGTTGCCCGGGAGGGCGGCTGTCAGGTGGACCAAGTGCGAGTCGGAGAGGTTCGACGTACTAGATCTGGGGTGGGCACTTGCTGGGTTAAAGCTCCATTGCAAGCAGTTAAGAAGATGACGGTCGCCGGCCGAGTTCGTATAGGCTGGGTTTCGGCGAAAGCAGAGCTCCTGCGGCAGAGGCCGCTTCGGTGCTTCCGCTGCTTGGAGGAAGGACATGTGCGGGCATCCTGCAGTCATGAGCAGGACCGCAGCGGTCTATGTTACCGTTGCGGAAACGAAGGCCATAAGGCGGCGATGTGCGCGGCCGACCCAAAGTGCGCTGTGTGTTCAGCGCAGGGCCGGCCGTCGGACCATTGGGTGGGGTCCAAGGCCTGCACTCCTCCTAAGAAGCGTAAGAAGCAACCGGTGAAATTGCCGAACCCAGCAGGCCGGGTGAGTGTGGAGGGAGAGGAGATGGAAACGGGCAGGTAGTCCCGCCCTCCTCTCCGGCGATAATTACATCGCCACAGGGCCGGGGTGACGACTGCGGGGGCAGTCCCACCCCATACCAACATGGCCCTGGGAAGTCGCGCGCGCATCCCCGCGCGCTTCCCCTAGACGGGGGTGGGTATTCAACATCTCGTACCCGCCCCAAACTGAGTCGGGGCCCGCGAGCCGGTGCGGGCCAACGCCGTTGGGATCCCGGTGGACTACGCAAGGGAACCCGGGTCCCCAACACAAAGGCGCGGCGAGGGAATGCCATGTGGTTTTTAGCCGGTAGGAGTCCGGCAGTATTCACACCCTCCCCCGGGGGTGTGTCTCTGCATGACGCATTTTCCACATGTAAAAAAAAAAAAAAAAAAAAAAAAAAAAAAAAAGGTTAGGTTAGGTTAGGTTAGGTTAGGTTAGGTTAGGTTAGGTTAGGTTAGGTTAGGTTAGGTTAGGTTTTTTTTTTTTTTTTTTTTTTAAATTTACGTTTTCTTTCGCTATTTTTATTGCGACAAACTTATTGACTAAATTATTAATTAACTGTGTATAAACTGAGGATTTTTTTTTTTTTTTTTTTTTTTTTTTTTTTTTTTTTTTTTTTTTTTTATGTATATAATGTATATTTTGTGTATATAAATTGTAAAACTATGTAAATATAAAATTGTAGACCATGTATATAACTGTGTATAAACCTTTATCGTCTTAATCAACTATTCTTGCTCCATTCTCTCTTGCCACGACCCTCAGCAGAGACTTTGCGAAGTTAAGGAATATATCCCTGGTTTCTTTATTCTCAAATATATATTCCATATTGCTTTCAGACAGTGTTGCATCCAATTTGAACTCGCAGTCAAACCGTTTTTTAGCGAATCTTTGGCAGTCGAAAAGTATATGCTGTATGGTTTGCGGGGTTTCACTGTCACATTGGCAGCTGGGGCTATCTATCAGTTTAAACCTGTGAAGATATGATCGGTTTCCTCCATGTCCGGTGAGAAGGTGAGTTATTGTATTATCTATTTCTATTTCCTTTACTATCTTATATGCTTTGCGAATATCTGGTAAGAATATTTTTGTTACGGCTGCTGTGTTGGATTCTATATATAATTTTTGGCACTTATCTAGTGATTTTTCCCTTAATACCTTTTTGGCGTACGTTAGAGGAAACCGATCATATATGGGCCTTGTCTTCTTTTTCAGAGCCGCTGTCTTGGCGAGGTCGTCCGCGCGCTCATTGCCAATTATTCCTGTATGAGCTTTCACCCAATAGAAGCATACTTTTCCACCGCATTGTTGGAGATTCTGAATTTTTTGCCGGATCTTCATGGTGAGGGGGTGGAGTGGACATGGATCTGCAATACTCTCTAAAGCTGATCTCGAGTCACTCAAGATGTTTGCAGTATGGAATCTCGACTTATTGCACATTGTCTCGATGGCTTTCAGTATGGCTGCTAGTTCCGCCTGGAAGACGGAGCAAAAATCTTCCAGGCGGAAGCTGGTTGAGTAGACTTCTTTACCATCGATCCAACATGTGACAGAACCGCCGACTTTACCCTCTATCTTGCTGCCATCAGTATAGAACCTCGGCCAGTTATTATCTATAACCTCATCTAGTTCGGTTTGACTGTTTATGATTTTAAACGTAACTGTATTTCTATTGGTTGGATGTGGTAGTAAGGAGACCGGTGTGCGACTTTCAAATTCTCTGCCAGGCAGCGCTCCCAAGGGTTCTCCCCTCTTAATTAAGTACAACTCGGCCTGTTCGATCGCTTTAATTTTGAGGGGAAGAATCCCCGCAAGCACCACGCTGGCAGAGAACGAGGTAGTTCTATGTCCTTTACATATTTTGATTGCGAAAAGCCTGGTGACTCTGTCAAGAATTTTCCCAACATTGTGATTCGAGGTGGTATGGGCCCAGCAACTGGCGGCATAAAGGATGGTCGGTTCTACAACTGATTGGTAAATTAACTTGAGGACACCGGGATTCAGGCCCCATTGAGCCCTGGCCATCTTAGACACTGATTTATATATGTTTAAAGCCTTTGCAGAGACAGCGCGAATGTGAGAATTGAAGTTAAGGTTCCGGTCTATGGTTAAACCGAGAACCTTAACTTCATCCCGCAGTTCAATAGATGTTCCGTCCATCACGAGCCTAGGAGTATGATACTTGAGTTTCTTGGTGAAGAGAACTGCTTGCGTTTTGTGTGGGGCAAATTTGAGCTTAAGCTTGTTGCCCCATTGAAGTATCTTTGAAAGCGCTTGGTTCAAGTTTCTCTCCACCTCCTCTCCAGTGCTACCCTGGGCTATGAGGAGTATGTCATCTGCAAAGGCTTGTATGTGTACTCCGTCATATTGGGAGGGTTCAAGTGCCTGATTCAATTGGAACGTTCCACAGAATCGGTCCACAGACCGATCCTTGGATACAGCCCCTATTAGTTTTCCTGTAGACTGTTGCTCCAGAGTAATTAATAGTTACTTTCCTATCCGATAAATAAGAGGTTATCAGTTGTATTAAGTCCTTGTCGATTCCCATGGTATCCAGCTGCGTAATAATAGTGGGCCACCAAGCACTGTCAAAGGCTCCTTGAATATCGAGGGAGACAATAACTGCCAGTTTTTTAGATTTTATGGCATTTTTAATTATGCTCAGTGCGTCGTATAGTGCATCCTCTGTGCTTCTTTGTGGAAGGAAGCCGTACTGGTTGGGGTGTAAAGAGCCCCGACCAGTAAGGTCCCACTGTAGTCTCTTCACCATCATTTTCTCTAGAGTCTTCCCCAATAGTGAAAGAAGGCCTATGGGTCGATATGACTTGGGAATGCTGTAGTCTTCCTTGCCAGGTTTAGGTATAACCTTTATATGGGCCTCCTTCCATACTTTAGGGAAGTAACTCAGGAGAAGGCACCGGTTATAGATTGCTAGCAATACTTCAGGGCATGTCTTGAAGGCTTTTTGGCAGATATCTGCAGTAAATGCGTCCGATCCTGGGGCTTTTTTAGAATTCGCATGCTGTAATGCTGGGCGTAATTCCTGTTCAGTAAAAAGATCAATTTGTCTGTCGATGGGAAGATTCTTTGAGGAGATTTCTATTGATTTTTGCCTGATTTGAGTATGTTCGTGATTGTCTTTTGTGGGATCATCTTCTGGAAAAAAGGTGTTGGCTAGGAGGGCTGCAGACTCATCCGCCGAGAGTGTGGTACCGTTATTGTCTGTTAGCAGTTTTTCGCGGACATCTTTGCTGGAGTGTTTTATGATTCTGTAGGATCTTTGCCAGACCGTTTCTCTTTCTTCACCCGTACAGAATTCTTTCCAGCTTTTTGTGTAATCGCTTGCTGTATCTCCTTCTTATATTGTTCTTTTTTCCTTAGGTATTCTTGTACTACAAAGCTTCTAGCATTGGCGTTGGCCTTCTTTATTCTGTTTCTGCTTCTCTTAAGTTCTGCTTTTAAGTTAGAGAGGTCTGAAGTCCACCACTTTGCAGTATTTGTAGATTTTTTATTATGTAGCTTGGGAATCGAGTCGTTGCAAGCACCGGTTAGAGCGTCATGAAATTTCTGTACTAAATTTTCGAGATCAGTAGTGTTTTTTGTGTTCGATATTGTTTCAGTGTTGATATTCTGTTGTTGGAGGTTATTAATAAGTGTTTCTTCAAATTTGTTCCAGTCGGCTTTTGCAGTAAAGAATACCCGTGTGGACGAACCAGAGTGTGTATCAAGGTTTGTAGTGACTTTAAGATTAAAGGTAATCGGGATGTGATCCGATAACGAGCAGAGGCTTGGGTTTATTCGCCAGTCTGTAATTGTGTTGAGGATCTGTGACGAGCAAGCCGTAATATCAATGATGCTTTGGCATGGTTGTCCTTGTCGATACACCAGAAATGTCGGTTGCGACCCTTGATTGAGGACTTCCATCCCAAGCTCTGCAAACGTGTCCATTATTTTGCTGCCTCGTTCGTCCTCGGTATCACATCCCCACCACGGACTTTTGGCGTTGGCGTCACCCGCAATGAGGAAGGTTGGCAGTTCCAGTCGAGTCAACAATTTTACGAAGAGTGTTCATGGTTTGTTCAATGTTGTGCGTCTTGTCTAGGTAAACATTAACAAAAGTATACGTTTCGTTACCAACGATGATTTTTAATCCAACCATGTCCTCTGTAATCCAATCTTGACTTTCGATTATGCGTATACTTGGTTTAGTATGACAATGGCTGCCCTTACCGGGTGGCTTCTGTTATGTAGCTTTTGTATGACTCGACTGTTACTACCAACACTTAAGTACCCTTTGGAGCCAACGTAAGGCTCTTGAAGCAGCAAGACTGAGTAACCTTTCTGACTGGCTTCTCTCAGGCATTCTTGTGTGGCGGAATGTCCCCTCCCAAGGTTAATTTGTACTATCTTGAGTTTCTCCTGTGCGTTTTGGGCATTTGTTACCCTGACTGTATCGACGCCCTTAGCAGTATAGAACAGCGGCCCTTGCTATTCCATCCCATTTCTGCCAGTCGGGGCAGTCTTGGCTGTATGCTGGATGTGGCTCAAGGTCTCTCTTTGCCTTTTTGCAGTTAGAGCACTGAGGGGTCAAGTTCCTATTTGGACACACTCTGGTATCATGCTCTTGGGCACAATGCCCACATCTAATCTGTTCATTACATTCAGCCGCCCTGTGATTATATCCCATGCATTTGTAGCACTGGGTCAGAGGCGACTGATCGACTGCAGGCACCAGTTGCAGGCCGATGTGAAGCTTTTGCCCTTGAACTGCTTTCCATATTGGAGGCGATACTTCCAGAATCACGTTCTTGATTTCTTGTGTTCTACCTTTGGTCCTACGTAGTGTCCTGACCTGCGAATTGGGAGGAAGGGAGCCAAGCAGATGTCGATTTTGGCTGATGACCGCCTTCTCAATCTGTTCATCTGTGAGGCTATTTACGACTCCGACAAGCCTAATTTGTGGGAGTCTATCCCTTGTGCTTCTAGCCGAGACCTGTGTACACTTTTGGCGTATCGCCTCCTGAAGGGCTCTGCGTTCTTCTTGGGACCCGCATGCCATAATAACCTTTTGGTTCCTGATCTTAGTTACTCTGTTTACGCCAATACCTAGATCGATGACGTTAACGTTCTGTTTTACTTGGTTTATAACGTCATCAGACGTTTTCCTGGGATCGGCCGATTCAATTAAGACCGCGTAATTAGGCTTGCTCAAGGCTTCAGCATAACTGCTGGGACGACGCGGTTTATTTTTGTTACTCTGATTGCCTGATTTGGGTTCTGCGATAGGTGCTACAGTCGCAGTTGACGGATCATCCGGCTTCTTGGCTTTTGGTCCGTTCACAACTACACTGGTCGCCTTAGCGTTTTCTTGTATTTTAGTCTGGACTTCTTTAATTTGCTCCTTGATTTCATTGAGAGCAACTTCGGTGTCAAGAGCAGTGCCTTGTTCGTGCATTATTGCCATGACTTCCTCGTGTCTAGCCTCTTTCATATCTAAGATGGCAGTTTTCGCTGTGGAGATATCGGCTTTTATGGCTTCTATCTTATCATCGAGAATCCTGTCAATTGCTCTTTAGTGACGTGCATTGCGGAGCAGGCTTCTTCCCGCTTAGTCAGCTCTGCCCTTAGATTGCGAATCTCCTGCATTATTGGGTCAAGAGCTGTAGCTGTGAGTGAGTTTAGATCTGTCTGTCCGTCACTATAGATTTTATCCGATTTGTTTCTCTCAATGAGGGCCTTAATTTCACTGAGCTCGCTGCGTACAGACGTGAGCTCCTGTTTATGTGCAGCGGACTCTGTCTCGATCTCCTTTATGCGGCGGGCCATGGAGTTACCGGCTATCCAAGCAATTTGATTTGCCGAGTCGATGGCTCTGTTTCTCATATCCGCAGTGACAGACTTGGCCTGTCTTAGGATTCTGACAATGCCCAATGCCAGAGTTTGCACGCGTTCCGAGCAGTCAGTTCCTTCTACTACAACATTCGACTGAGTACTTTGTGAGAGAGGTAACGAGATAGCTGCTGAACTATCATCAAAAACACTGTCGTGGCGGCTGAGGCTGGCGGAGTTTGAGTCTGTTATTGGTCTCCACGTTGGGAGAAAATCAGTGGATGAGGTACCTGAAGAAGGGGGGGAAGCCTGAGGGGCCGCAGAATCAGCCTTGCGAGCCTCGGCTGACTCCGACGGCAAGTTGACGGGTCGCCTGACCGGTGACCGTGCTAGGATCATTTTCAAGTTTTACGCTAACTGGGGAAGCAAAGGTGAGTAAGAAGTTGACGGGGGGCTGCTGAGAGGCAACACTATCAATTCCAGAACGAAAAAGAACGAAAAAGAAAATAAAAATTTTTTGTCTCGAAAATTTCTACCTTATACAGTGAGAAAAATGGGCGGGTGGGCGGGCAAATTTTTCGCAAAAGTGCTCCGATGTGGACAAGTGTGGTGTCTATGCACTCGGGACGGAGCGCACAGCACGGGAAAAATACTAGAAAAATTCCAAAAGCGACAGGGGGCAGAAAATTGGGGAGAAATAGTACGATTACGTGTAGGTAAGTAGTCAAAATTCAGGGGGTTGACGGGGGTAGGGGGGATGATAGGTAGACGAACGACAAGAGGGGACGAAAACTAACTAATTCAAGAAGAAAAAACGACGAAAAAAGACAATTTACGAGAGAATTTTTGAGATTTTTAAATAACAAAAAACTACTTGCAACGGGGGGTAGAAAGGGGTGAGGGGTGCAAAAACTATTTTAAACGGTAGGGAGCGACTAGACAACAACTTTGACAACGAGGGACAGCGAGAAAACAGCGAAATTCCAGAAAAAATTTTTTAACTATGATATGTTATTATTGAATCTTGGAGCGCTTAGGTAGGCTCGGTTCGATGCTATTTCGCAAAAGTGCTCCTATGGGGACAAGTGTGGTGTCTATGCACTCGGGACGGAGCGCACAGCACGGGAAAAATACTAGAAAAATTCCAAAAGCGATAGGGGGGGGAGAAAATTGGGGAGAAATAGTACGATTTCGTGTAGGAAACTAGTCAAAATTCAGGGGGTTGACGGGGGTAGGGGGATGATATGTAGACTAACGACAACAGGGAACGAAAACTAACTAATTCGAGGAGAAAAAACGACGAAAAAAGACAATTTACGAGAGAATTTTTGAGATTTTTAAATAACAAAAAACTACTTGCAACGGGGGGTAGAAAGGGGTGAGGGGTGCAAAAACTATATTAAACTGCAGGGAGCGACTAGACAACAACTTTGACAACGAGGGACAGCGAGAAAACAGCGAAATTCCAGAAAAAATTTTTTAACTATGATATGTTATTATTGAATTTTGGAGCGCTTAGGTAGGCTCGGTTCGGTGCTATTTCGCAAAAGTGCTCCGATGTGGACAAGTGTGGTGTCTATGCACTCGGGACGGAGCGCACAGCACGGGAAAAATACTAGAAAAATTCCAAAAGCGACAGGGGGGGAAGAAAATTGGGGAGAAATAGTACGTTTACGAGTAGTTAAATAGTAAAAATTCAGGGGGTTGACGGGGGTAGGGGGGATGATAGGTAGATGAACGACAAGAGGGAACGAAAACTAACTAATTCAAGAAGAAAAAACGACGAAAAAAGACAATTTACGAAGAATTTTTGAGATTTCTTAAAAACAAAAAACTATTTGCAACGGGGGGTAGAAAGGGGGTGAGGGGTGCAAAAACTATATTAAACTGTAGGAAGCAACTAGACAACAACTTTGACAACGAGGGACAGCGAGAAAACTGCGAAATTCCAGAAAAAATTTTTTAACTATGATATGCTATTATTGAATTTGGAGGCTTAGGTAGTCTCGGTTTGATGCTATTTTTCGCAAAAGTGCTCCTAGGATGGGGACAAGTGTGGTGTCTATGCACTCGGGACGGAGCGCACAGCACGGGAAAAATACTAGAAAAATTCCAAAAGGCTAGCGATAGGGGGGTAGAAAATTGGGGAGAAATAGTAGGTTAGGTTAGGTAAATAGTCAAAATTCAGGGGGTTGACGGGGGTAGGGGGATGATAGATAGATGAGCGAGTATGGGGAACGAAAACTAATCGATTTAAGAAGAAAATTCGACGAAAAAAGCACAATTTACGAAAATTTTGAGATTTCTTAAAAAAATTTAAACTATTTGCAATAGGGGTAGGAGGGGTGGGGGGTGCAAAAACGATTAAAAACTATAGGGAGCGACTAGAAAACAACGTTAAGAAGGACAGCGAGGAAAACTGCAAAATTCTAGAAAAAATTTTTTAACTATGACCTGCTATTATTGAATTTGAAGGGAGCTTAGGTAGTCTCGGTTTGACAATTTTTCGCAAAGGTGCTCCGATAGGGACAAGTGTGGTGTCTATGCACTCGGGACGGAGCGCACAGCACGGGAAAAATACTAGAAAAATTCCAAAACTGATAGGGGGGGGTAGAAAATTGGGGAGAAATAGTCAGAGTTAGGTTAGGTAAACCGTCAAAATTCAGGGGGTTTACGGGGGTAGGGGGATGATAGATAGATGAGCGAGTATGGGGAACGAAAAACTAATCGATTTAAGGAAGAAAATTCGACGAAAGGCACAACCGAAAAATTTTTTTAAGGTTAGGTTGTGCAAGTAGTGTTAGGGTAAAAAGGTTAGGTTAGGTTAGGTTAGGGGTAGGGGTAGGTTAGGTTAGGTTAGGTTAGGTTAGGTTAGGTTAGGTTAGGTTAGGTTAGGTTAGGTTAGGTTAGGTTAGGTTAGGTTAGTTAGTTTAGTTAGTTAGGTATGTTAGGTTAGGTTATTTTAGGTTAGGTTAGGTTAGGTTAGTTTAGGTTAGGTTAGGTTAGGTTAGGTTAGGTTAGGTTAGGTTAGGTTAGGTTAGGTTAGGTTAGGTTAGGTTAGGTTAGGTTAGGTTAGGTTAGGTTAGGTTAGGTTAGGTTAGGTTAGGTTAGGTTAGGTTAGGTTAGGTTAGGTTAGGTTAGGTTAGGTTAGTTAAGTTAAGGTTAGGTTAGGTTAGGTTAGGTTAGGTTAGGTTAGGTTAGGTTAGGTTAGGTTAGGTTAGGTTAGGTTAGGTTAGGTTGGGGTGCTGGGTCGGAAAACCTCCAAGAGTGCCCTGGCTCATTGTACGGTCACTTGTCCTGGTGCGGATACGTCCGGCGGGAACGGTGGCTGACAATGGCTGGGGCCTGGTGCATCCTGGGCAACGGCGGTAAGTGACTTCTCGCTGTAGAGATCTCACTTACCGACGGCTAATATTCCGACAGAGGTGGTGAGCGGCGAGCCCAAGTTATGGGGTTTGTCGTGTTTTCGTTGGGGGCGGGTTTTGTTCCGCGACTTCTCGTAGTGGGAGTTGTCGGCGGGCCCGGTGAGTGCTTCGTTGCGCAATCGGGCTGGTTTCAGTGCCACCGCCGAAAAACCGTAATCCCTCGCGAAGGTGTGGTCATGTTTCGCACCGGAGTGAGGGGACGGGGGCCTTGGCTTAATCGCCTGGGCCGCGAGGAGTAAACCTCTATAAAAATCCTCTCGTGTAAGCTTCGGTGCCTGGCGATGCATAGTTCGTTGTGCGGTGCACGCTACCGGACATCATAAGTTCGGTTAGCGTGTTCTGTGCCGCGGGCGGGTCGGTGGAGTATCATCGGCCGCAAGGGCACCAACCTCGGGGTATCTGCCGCACCCCGTTGTATGTAGGCCGCACGCAGAAGCAGGGGGCTCCCCTGCGTGTGAAACCTTTCCCCCATACTCGTGGGAACAAGTATGGAAATATCAAAAACAAAAACAAAACCCAAAATTGATGTCGTGTCTGAGAAGGACGGTGAGAAAGTAGTGCCTGAGAAGGGCGGAGAGAAGTTGGTGCCTGAGAAGGGCGTAGAAAGTAAGAAGTCGGGGCTAGAACTCCTGAAAGAGTGTTCGGTAGTACTGGGCGAAGATGTTGGTCTCTTAGGTCGTCGTCGTACTCGCCATAGTCTGTTGAGAGCGGTTGCGGGCGAGATCGACTGCGGGTCTACGCGGTCGAGCTCGTGTGCAACCCCAACTGAGGAGATGGAAATGGAACCGTTGCCGTCCACGTCTGGTCTCCGCTCCTGGCGTAAAAGACACATTGCTGAGTCTGACACAGACTCTATAGTTGAGGATGAGGGCGATGTCCAGTCCGCCCGCAAAAGGTCCGGCAGCCCTAGAGTGGGGTCGAGAGCAAGTTCTCGCACAAGGAAGAAGGAGGAATGTCGGCGGCAGTTCAGCTACCGATTCTTTGAGGACGATGTAACCGGAGCGGTCCCTGGGGCGGGTGCTACCAAGTCTGGATTACCTCCAGCGACGGCCCTGGATTATCATGAGAGTGACTTCTTCTCCTCAGGGGATGAAGCGTCGGATATACTGTCGGAGTCGGATAGGCCGACGGCGTCTGGCGCCACTGCCACTGCCGCCGCCGAGAATAAGAATAAAGTGGCCGAGGAGGTAATCCGCAGGGCGAAGTGTCTCGTCCACCGGCAAGCGGATGCTCTCACTGATGTTGTGAAGAAGGCAGTGAACCTCAAAGGGACCACCATAAGGACCCTGAAAGAGGGTTTGGCCGGGATCACACAGGTTGTGGACACCTTGGAGGGGGATCTATTTCCGACGTCGGTCTCTCCACTGGTCTCAAAGAACCTGAGACTTGAGCAGGAAGTCGAGTACCTGCGTCGGCAGTTGGCCGAGGCTCGTGCTGCCAAGCCAGCTGCCAAGCCAGCGGCCAATGCCGGTATCTCGGCGGATGTTGTCCCTGTCGTAGGGAGTGAGGCGAGCGCGTTCCGCGCTCAAATAATGAGGGACGTCGGTGGAATCGTCCGCCAAATGGTAGGGACGCTTATGAAGGAGGTGAAAGAGATGATCTCTGCTCTCCCCTCCACTGAGAAGGTGTCGTCTGCGTCTGCGGTCTCCACGCAAACCTTGCCAGAGGCTGGAACAATGGCGTCAGATGTGCCCGACCCCCCTAGAGTCGGCTACCGGGGTTCTCTTCCCCAGTCAGAAACGGGTCGGGCCAAGAAAAATAAGGCGAAGAAGACGCCCGTCACACCGGCGCCCTCTGTACAGCCCGAGTCGGTAGCAACAACATCCGCTCAGCCGCCTGTGCAGGCGACCGCGTCCTCCTGGGCGACGGTCGTAAAAGGAAAACGGGGCAAGACCGTCAGTGTTCCCGAAGGGCAGCCTGTGGCTGTCAACCCTCCGGTGACGAAAGCCGGTTCGGCCCCCTCGAAGAAGGCAAAGAAGACGAGCGCACCCTCGCCTTCTAAACTGAAACCGCCTCGCTCCGCGGCGGTTATTATTACGTTGGACCCGGAGGCGGAAAGGGAGGGTGTCGCGTATGCGAATGTCCTTGCGGAGGCCAAGAGAAGGATCGATCTCCGCGCATTGGGGATCGAAGATATGCGGTTTCGCACCGCGATCACCGGCGGTAAGGTTCTAGAGGTTCCAGGTGCTGATGGCGCGGAGAAGGCCGACGTTCTGGCGTCGAAGCTCCGGGAGTTCATCCCGGAGAATATGGCCAAAATCTCCAGGCCCGTAAAGTCCGCGGAGATGCGGATATCGGGCCTGGACGACAGTGTTACGTCGGAGGAAGTGGTCGCTGCGGTTGCCCGGGAGGGCGGCTGTCAGGTGGACCAAGTGCGAGTCGGAGAGGTTCGACGTACTAGATCTGGGGTGGGCACTTGCTGGGTTAAAGCTCCATTGCAAGCAGTTAAGAAGATGACGGTCGCCGGCCGAGTTCGTATAGGCTGGGTTTCGGCGAAAGCAGAGCTCCTGCGGCAGAGGCCGCTTCGGTGCTTCCGCTGCTTGGAGGAAGGACATGTGCGGGCATCCTGCAGTCATGAGCAGGACCGCAGCGGTCTATGTTACCGTTGCGGAAACGAAGGCCATAAGGCGGCGATGTGCGCGGCCGACCCAAAGTGCGCTGTGTGTTCAGCGCAGGGCCGGCCGTCGGACCATTGGGTGGGGTCCAAGGCCTGCACTCCTCCTAAGAAGCGTAAGAAGCAACCGGTGAAATTGCCGAACCCAGCAGGCCGGGTGAGTGTGGAGGGAGAGGAGATGGAAACGGGCAGGTAGTCCCGCCCTCCTCTCCGGCGATAATTACATCGCCACAGGGCCGGGGTGACGACTGCGGGGGCAGTCCCACCCCATACCAACATGGCCCTGGGAAGTCGCGCGCGCATCCCCGCGCGCTTCCCCTAGACGGGGGTGGGTATTCAACATCTCGTACCCGCCCCAAACTGAGTCGGGGCCCGCGAGCCGGTGCGGGCCAACGCCGTTGGGATCCCGGTGGACTACGCAAGGGAACCCGGGTCCCCAACACAAAGGCGCGGCGAGGGAATGCCATGTGGTTTTTAGCCGGTAGGAGTCCGGCAGTATTCACACCCTCCCCCGGGGGTGTGTCTCTGCATGACGCATTTTCCACAAAAAAAAAAAAAAAAAAAAAAAAAAAAAGGTTAGGTTAGGTTAGGTTAGGTTAGGTTAGGTTAGGTTAGGTTAGGTTTTTTTTTTTTTTTTTTTTTTTTTTTTTTTTTTTTTTCCTATTTTCGTTGGTTCGCAGTGGTATGATATACTAACATATGCGGTAATGATCGCTAATTTCTTATCTATGTGTTTGCGCTGATGTCGACGGAAGGGAGAGCTTCCGCTATTAGATACGTGAGCTTCTCCCACCGTGGACGTTTGCTAATGAATATGACAAGGTTCCCACATAGGCCCCTGCGGCAGCGGGAATGGCAGACGCGATTTGATACGGCTATCCATACACCACATCCGCAGGATTACTCGAATGTCAATGGGGGAACAAGGTGAATTGATGATGATGAATGTGGTAATGATGAATTGACAACTATATACACGGACAATGGAATGGAGGTGAGGCGAGTGTGATAAATGTACTAGTGGGAGTTGAAGACTTGTGAAGGTGAGGTAATATTAATTAATTAGTGGACGCAAGTAGTCTGTCATGATCTTAGTTGGCCGTTGAAAGCTTTAAGGTTGGTGATAATGTGTTTTGCAAAAGTGTCGAATGAACTGATGGCCGATTCGTGTTTTAACAATTCTAATATGTTAAATGGGGGCAATCTTAGATTGTTGCAAAGCAAGACATGATTTAGTCTCTTCGGGCTAAATCTGGGGCAGTGTTCTAGAAGATGTTCAAAAGTCTGCGTAGTAGAATCATCACAGGGACAAGCGTCGTCAGCGGCTATATTGAAGCGATGCAAGTATTGCTTTGTATAGCCATGTCCTGTTAATATTTGGGTAATATGAAAGGAAGTTTTGACTAGCTGTCTAAATCTGGTGATATCAGTTAATTTAGGGAGAAGAGAAATCGTATGACGACCTTGAGATGAGCTCTCATATCTTGCTTGCCATATGCGGTTATGTTCAGCGCGGATGTTATGCTTGACAAAAGACATGGGATATGAAGCGTAGGATAAAGAGGAGTGCGAGGCGGCAGCGTATTTCGCCGCGGAGTCGGCCGCCTCGTTCCCGTCTACGCCTATATGTCCCTTGACCCATACGAAGCTCAACGAACCGGATGTACGCGAATGGATTTGTGCGTGAGTTTGTGAGACCAGAGGGTGCGTGTTGCTCCGATCTCGCAATGCGGCAAGGGCCGCTTGGGAGTCGGTTATTATGGTGATGTGTGAATGTGGATGAAACGAGTTAGCCCACGTGCAGGCTTTGAGGATGGCGAGAAGCTCGGCCTGAAAGACCGAGCAGGACCGATGGAGTTTGAACTTCTTAACAGCGATTTGCTTATTTTCAGAATATGCGACGAAAGCGGCCCCGGTGTCAGAATTCTCCAGCTTACTTCCATCTGTATAAATGGTGAGGGATGACTGTGAAGTGGTGAGAGATGAATAAGGAAGCGAAGTGATGGAGACTCTGACAGCAGGGTGGAGTAACTTATGAGGCGGGGTGGGACGCTCAAGAGACAAATCACTGCGCAGAAGATGCGTAGATCCTGTGAGTCGCGTTTGCTCAAGGTGATGAACTTCGAGAACTTTAAGGTCCAAGGGAGTGAGTTCTGCTAACGCGATCGCTGCAGTAGTGGACACAGTCCTAAACGCCCTAATAATTCGAATCGCAAATCCTCGCTGCATACTCAACAGTCTCCTCTTGATACCTTTCTTAAGAGCCGCTTGCCCCCATACACCAGCAGCATAGGTGATGATCGGCTCGACGACATGCTGGTATATAGTTCTGACGTTTTCGGGGTGGGCTCCCCAGGTGGGACGACAGAAGAGACAGAGTCTGTTGAATATGCGCGTGGCTTTGTCGATGATGAGCCGTACATGCCTATTAAATGACAGTTTTTCATCCAGTGTGACCCCGAGAAGCTTAAGTTCTCTCTCACGAAAGGGAGAGCGGTGTCTGCCATTCTGATGGTGGCTCCTTTGGCTTTAGGTGTGAAAGCAATAGCGTGCGTTTTTGAGGGGCTAAAAGTCAGCTTTACGCTATGTCCCCACTCAGTAATTTGGAGTAACGCGGTGTTGGTGAGCCTCTGTAAATCCTCGATTCTAGCGCTGTGTACCACGAGGAGTACATCGTCGGCGAAAGCCTGGATGTGACAACCTCGTGGTAGTTGGATATCGAGTAGCTCGTCTAGGATTATATTCCACATTATAGGGCCACACGCCGATCCCTGGATGCAGCCCTTCGTCAAAGACTTGGTGGCGCGCTCATCCCCGTAGTTCAGGACTACCTCCCTATCCTGGAAGTAGCTGCCGATGAGACCGAAGATGTTCTTGGGACAGCCGATGCGACGAAGGCCGTCAAAAAGCGCTGGCCACCAAGCATTGTCGAAAGCCGCCTTGATATCCAAGGAAACGGCGATCACCAATTCCTTATTTTGTTTAGCGGAGTGAATAACATCAAGAGCTGTGGACAGTGCTGCTGTGGTGTTGGTTTGCTCTTTGAAGCCGAACTGCCTGTCACTTAATTTCCCCGCAATTCCAGCAGCAAATGTAACCCGCTTTATGAGTAGCTTCTCCAATAACTTGCCAAGCACAGACAACAGACCAATGGGACGGTGAGAAGAAAGATCGCTATAGTCGGTCTTATTTGGTTTAGGGATGATTTTAACAAAAGCTTTCTTCCATTGTCTAGGAAAGTACTGCAACTCGAGACAACGATTAAGAATGTCCGTGATGAGATTTGGGTATGCCAGGGCAAATTGCATGCATATATCGGAGGTCAAGCCGTCCAAACCAGGCGCTTTTTTGGGATTCATCGTTTTAAGAGTTTCCAGTACTTCCCCGACAACGAAAGGGGGTTCGTCAGGTGTGTCAGGCAGGTCGTTGGTACGTTGTCTGAGGTCACGGTGTCTGGGAGAGGAGTCAAGTGAGTCATCAGGATAGAAATGGTCAAGTAGGACCTTGGCGGTTTGTTGCGCATCAGTAGTGTGCTCTATACCGAGTTTGAGAGTGATAGGGGGACGCCGAGGTGCAGTTTCCTTGAGGAGACGATTTGTCAGAGACCAGACATTCTCTTTGCTCTGGCGATTGCAGAATTCGCGGAAGTTAGCCGTCGATGCATCTCTGAGCTCTTGCGCATACAGTGTGCGTTTGGCTTGGGTTTCCTGAGATAGACGGTCAATTTCATCCTGCGACTGGGAAGAGCGGTGTCTGACAGCATGAAGCCGACGATGGAGACCGATAACTTCAGCCTTTCGACTTTCCAGTGCGTCGGTCCACCAAGGAGGTCTGTACCGGCCGCCGGAACCCTTGGCAGGCATGGATTCCGTGCAGGCCGCATGTATTATTTCAGTAGTCCTGTCCACAAAGCTCTCCAACCCGTATGCATCCAGACTGGATATGGGGATATCGAGAAGATCTGTGTGAGTCATGAGTGTGTGAAGTTCAGTTTTGAATTTGGCCCAATTTGCTTTATGACTCTTATACCTGAAGGTGGAATGCGCGTTGTTGCCTCCGTAGTGTCGGTCACAACGAGCATGGATATCGAAAACGACTGCGTTATGCTGAGAGATTGGACATGCTTCGAGATTGACCGCCCAATTTTCCCAATCAACGGTGGATGCCGAGGCCATTGTTATATCGATGATGGATGTCCTGTGTCTGCCATGGGTAATGGTCTCAAATGTGGGTGTCACTCCGGTGTTGCAGAAAAAGAAGTCGTGTCCATGTGCCAGATCGGTGAGTGCACTACCTCTGGCGTTAGCTCTCTCGCTGCCCCAAATGGGATGCCAACCATTGAAGTCACCACCCACGACGCAGCGAGAATCGCCAATGCCGGTGAGAAAAACGTCTAGACGCTCGATTGTGCTCAGGTTGTCAGCGTCTGGCTCTACATAGGCCGATACTATAAACAGTGGCGTCGCTCTAATTTTTAATTGCACAACAGATAGGTTGGGCGAGGAGTACTGGGTGAAGCCTAAAGCACTAAAACAGGGGATGCCCTCTTTAACAAAGATGCAGGCCTTAATTCTATCAGATGAGGCATTGGGGAATTGAAATATTTGCACACCTGGGATGGATTTAACAAGATTGGTCGAGTCGACATACGGCTCGGAAACCAGAGCAATGGAGTACTCGCCGGCCACGAAAAAGCGAGTAAACTCCAGTAAAGCGCCTTTGGAACGATCTAAATTGCATTGGATAACCTTGATTAATTTACTCTGGTCCATAATTGATTCGGGAAGTTATTCGCCTTTTTACAGTGATGACTACGGGGCATGAAGGTGATGTGGCCTTGTGTTTGACGTTATTTTCAGTCTGATATCTGGAGTTATTCTGTGAGCAGTTATAACATTTGGGCGTGCTATTCTTTGCGGGGCAGTCACTGTCGGTGTGAGAACTCTCCGCACAATGTGCGCAACGTCTGATCTCGTTAGGGCAGCGCGATTTCATGTGTCCGAATTGCAGACAAGAGTGGCATTGTATAAACGGAGAGAAATCTTCGCAATGCACCCTTTGATGGTCCACTCGAACTCTCTCCATGGCGGTGGCCGCTCTCCATAGTCCGGGGCTGACGACTAGAACAGCGTTATACAAATTGGGATTGCGATTGTTGCGCTTGAACTTGAATTGAACGGCATCCTCAGAGAAGTTGCTGAGTTCGGGGTTCTGCTGAAGCATTATCTTAGCCAGCTCGTCACTTGGGGTCGTGAGTGCTACGCCCTTAAGGATGAGCATTGGCTTGATTTTGTGAGATTTTTCAGCAGTGACCCAGGATGCATTGGAGATCGACAGTCGATGTAAAACATCATCGCATTCGCGATCCGTGTCGAACTCGACTCTGAGTTTGCCTCGCGATATCGGGATTACCTTAACTGGCGCATAGTTGCACTCTTTAAAGGAGATGCTGCGTCTGAACGCATTTATAGCGTCTTGCCTAGTTTCCGCCTGAACTTTGGGCGTAACTATAAGGGCGGGTCGCGTGACTGGTGGTGAGGTCGAAGTCTTCTTCGGTGCACTTGGGGGTTTTTTCCCGAGTTCCGCTACTTGCGCATAAGTGGGCTGAGGACCTCGAGGGCGGGGCGCCTGTGCTGCGACGGCAGTGTCGGAGGCGAGATCGGTATTAGGAGTAGAAGCGCCACGTACGGATCGGGTCAGCTCTCTCTTTATTTTACCCATCTCCTCTCGCATGCAGGTGAGAAGTTCGCTGCGCAAACTCGCCGAGTCCGGGATAGTCGATGTCTCCGGAACAGAAGTGATGGCATTGTTTCCGCAGGCTTCTCGGCCAGCAGCAGCAGGCAAGGCGCCGGGTGACAATCGTTGGAAGATGCCCATGGCTTTCCGAATCTCTTCGGAGGCGCGAGATATAAAGTTCTTGTTTTGTGTAGTGACACTTTTGGTTTCAAAGGTCGCCGAGGTGATAGCCTCTGACAACGAGGTGACAACATGTGTTAGAGAGGCCAAGTCAGAGACCTGTTCTGCGGTGATAGGTAGAGGTTTTTCCCGTACGTTTTTACCGCCTTTCTTCCTTTTGGAGACCGAATCTGGGACACCACATGGGGTACTCGGGACGATCGGTGCGGTTGTAGGGGCCGCTGTGTCTGCAATTAATGAAGTTCTATCTGGGGACATATCTAGCAGAAGAGGAGGGGTTGGGATAGGTGATATCGGTTTATCGAGGACAGGAGAGGGATCGGATGCTGCTATGGCAGGCGTCAAATTGGTGGGCTGAGTTAGTTGCCCATCCGGTGATTGGGTTACTGAGGCTTTTGCTGGAAGATTTGGACAGCGTTCGAGAACGACTATTGCGTCACGAGGGGCGTGTTTGACCTCAGGAGCAGATTTGGCCGAAGTGGGTTTGGATGATTCTGTAGAAGGCATTGTAGCTTCTGGTGTCGGTGTAGAAGATTTAATGCGACTCCTGACCGGTGAATGAACTATAGGCATGTTTTGCTCAATAGGTTAGGTTATAAGGAGAGGTCGAGTTTTTTGGGGGGTAGGAGGCTGCAGGAATGCAACAAAGAGAGACGGGTGTGTAAAAGTTGACGGGAGGGTTGCTGGGAAGCAACACTATCGATTTCGGGCGGAAAAAGAAAATGACTTCGTCTCGAAATTTCCACCTTATCGAGTCAGAAAAAAGGGCGGGTGGGCGGGCAAATTTTTCGCAAAAGTGCTCCGATAGGGACAAGTGTGGTGTCTATGCACTCGGGACGGAGCGCACAGCACGGGAAAAATACTAGAAAAATTCCAAAACTGATAGGGGGGGGGTAGAAAATTGGGGAGAAATAGTCAGAGTTAGGTTAGGTAAAACGTCAAAATTCAGGGGGTTTACGGGGGTAGGGGGATGATAGATAGATGAGCGAGTATGGGGAACGAAAAACTAATCGATTTAAGAAGAAAATTCGACGAAAAAGCACAATTTGCGAAAAATTTTTGAGATTTCTTAAGAAAAATTTAAACTATTTGCAATAGGGGTAGGAGGGTGTGGGGGGTGCGAAAACGATTAAAAACTATAGGGAGTAGCAAAACAACGACCCTAAGAACGAAAGAAAGCGTGAAAACTGCAAAATTCTAGAAAAAATTTTTTAACTATGACCTGCTATTATTGAATTTGAAGGGAGCTTAGGTAGTCTCGGTTTGACAATTTTTCGCAAAAGTGCTCCGATAGGGACAAGTGTGGTGTCTATGCACTCGGGACGGAGCGCACAGCACGGGAAAAATACTAGAAAAATTCCAAAACTGATAGGGGGGTAGAAAATTGGGGAGAAATAGTCAGAGTTAGGTTAGGTAAAACGTCAAAATTCAGGGGGTTTACGGGGGTAGGGGGATGATAGATAGATGAGCGAGTATGGGGAACGAAAAACTAATCGATTTAAGAAGAAAATTCGACGAAAAAGCACAATTTGCGAAAAATTTTTGAGATTTCTTAAGAAAAATTTAAACTATTTGCAATAGGGGTAGGAGGGTGTAGGGGGTGCAAAAACGATTAAAAACTATAGGGAGTAGCAAAACAACGACCCTAAGAACGAAAGAAAGCGTGAAAACTGCAAAATTCTAGAAAAAATTTTTTAACTATGACCTGCTATTATTGAATTTGAAGGGAGCTTAGGTAGTCTCGGTTTGACAATTTTTCGCAAAAGTGCTCCGATAGGGACAAGTGTGGTGTCTATGCACTCGGGACGGAGCGCACAGCACGGGAAAAATACTAGAAAAATTCCAAAACTGATAGGGGGGTAGAAAATTGGGGAGAAATAGTCAGAGTTAGGTTAGGTAAAACGTCAAAATTCAGGGGGTTTACGGGGGTAGGGGGATGATAGATAGATGAGCGAGTATGGGGAACGAAAAACTAATCGATTTAAGAAGAAAATTCGACGAAAAAGCACAATTTGCGAAAAATTTTTGAGATTTCTTAAGAAAAATTTAAACTATTTGCAATAGGGGTAGGAGGGTGGGGGGTGCGAAAACGATTAAAAACTATAGGGAGTAGCAAAACAACGACCCTAAGAACGAAAGAAAGCGTGAAAACTGCAAAATTCTAGAAAAAATTTTTTAACTATGACCTGCTATTATTGAATTTGAAGGGAGCTTAGGTAGTCTCGGTTTGACAATTTTTCGCAAAAGTGCTCCGATAGGGACAAGTGTGGTGTCTATGCACTCGGGACGGAGCGCACAGCACGGGAAAAATACTAGAAAAATTCCAAAACTGATAGGGGGGTAGAAAATTGGGGAGAAATAGTCAGAGTTAGGTTAGGTAAAACGTCAAAATTCAGGGGGTTTACGGGGGTAGGGGGATGATAGATAGATGAGCGAGTATGGGGAACGAAAAACTAATCGATTTAAGAAGAAAATTCGACGAAAAAGCACAATTTGCGAAAAATTTTTGAGATTTCTTAAGAAAAATTTAAACTATTTGCAATAGGGGTAGGCGGGTGTGGGGGGTGCGAAAACGATTAAAAACTATAGGGAGTAGCAAAACAACGACCCTAAGAACGAAAGAAAGCGTGAAAACTGCAAAATTCTAGAAAAAATTTTTTAACTATGACCTGCTATTATTGAATTTGAAGGGAGCTTAGGTAGTCTCGGTTTGACAATTTTTCGCAAAGGTGCTCCGATAGGGACAAGTGTGGTGTCTATGCACTCGGGACGGAGCGCACAGCACGGGAAAAATACTAGAAAAATTCCAAAACTGATAGGGGGGGTAGAAAATTGGGGAGAAATAGTCAGAGTTAGGTTAGGTAAAACGTCAAAATTCAGGGGGTTTACGGGGGTAGGGGGATGATAGATAGATGAGCGAGTATGGGGAACGAAAAACTAATCGATTTAAGAAGAAAATTCGACGAAAAAGCACAATTTGCGAAAAATTTTTGAGATTTCTTAAGAAAAATTTAAACTATTTGCAATAGGGGTAGGAGGGTGTGGGGGGTGCGAAAACGATTAAAAACTATAGGGAGTAGCAAAACAACGACCCTAAGAACGAAAGAAAGCGTGAAAACTGCAAAATTCTAGAAAAAATTTTTTAACTATGACCTGGTTAGGTTAGGTTAGGTTAGGTTAGGTTGGGGTGCTGGGTCGGAAAACCTCCAAGAGTGCCCTGGCTCATTGTACGGTCACTTGTCCTGGTGCGGATACGTCCGGCGGGAACGGTGGCTGACAATGGCTGGGGCCTGGTGCATCCTGGGCAACGGCGGTAAGTGACTTCTCGCTATTTAGAGATCTCACTTACCGACGGCTAATCTTCCGACGCCGCGGGTGGGACGAGTTCGTGACGCACTATTTGTGTTGCGGACTTGCCTGACTCGCTCTTCGTTTTCTTTCGTCTTCCTTTTGTTATTCTTCGTTTTTGTTTTGTTTGTTTTATTTTTGTTTTGAGTCTTTACTGTCGTCTTTTCTATCTTCTGTTTTCTTTCTGTCGTTTTGTTTTTTCTATAATTTTCATTTTAAATTTCCTTTCGCCTTTCACGGGACCTCCCCCGTTAAAAAAGGAAAACATGAGAATGGCCAGTCGCAAAACTGAATTCCCCAGGGCGGTACCGTCGGGAGACGGAGAATCCGCCACCACCGCACCGGTTCAGCCGGGGGTGGTCAGCCCCGTGTATCTGGGGGGGGCAACGGAAGGCCTGAGGGGAGTAGGAGAAGATGTTGTTGTGAGAGGAGAGATAGTGAAGGAGGTGGGACTGGAGACCAAAGTGGTCCCGGTAAGAGCTCGCCGGAGTATGGAGATCGATCCGGCTATGGACGATGAATTGTCCATGCTTGCCCGCGAGATCGACAGCTCACTTTCGCGGTCGACTTCGTGTGCAAGTATGTTATTCAGTGAGGATGAGGACTTTTTGGAGCGTCCTCGCTCCAGGCGCAAAAGGCGCCATTCGAGAAGTGATGAGGAGTCGTCAGTTGTCGAAAGCGACTCACAAACCTCGGCTAAGAGGAAGGGAAAGGCTGGGAAGGCAAAAGCCCCCAGCAGCGCAGAGCAGTTCCGTGTCGCTCTGTACGAAGGAGGAAACACCGTTCCGCCCAAGGCTATTTCACCTAAGGCCACGGGCCGATATGCAGGACTGTCGCAGGCGAGGGCCGACCTTGCCGAATATGTCGATAGAGAAATGGAGAAAGAGGCCGCAGAGGCCGTTGCCGGCACTTCGAAACCAGTGACTCGCCATTACAACATATTCCCCGTGGAGGAAATTAAGCGAGCAGACGTCGTCGGAGCCGAAATGGATGAATGTGCCAGAAACGTTTTGGAGGCCGTCAAAAAATCTGGCCACTTGAAGGGTACGATCATAAAAACGATCAAAGAGAATATAACGACCATCCGCAGAAACACGGAGTGGTTCGTTGACCGGACGAATACGGCCGAATGCGCTGATCTGCGCAAAGACAACGCTCGGTTGGAGGCTGAGTTAAAAGAGCGGCAAATTATGATGACCGGCATCCGCGAGGAGTCGGTCAGAAGCGCCGTCGAGATGAGGGCCCTTCGCAAGGCAGTCGCTAACGCCCCAAACGCGAAAGAGGTGCTCGAGCTTAGAGCCGACCTCGGGGAAAACCTTGAGCGTCAGGTTCAGTCATATGTCGACGAGACCATAGACCTGAAGAGGAGATTGCTGGAGCAGAGCGTTGAGCTCCGCAAGCTTAAAAACCAGCTACAAGAGCTGCAAGCCTCGTCAGTGCCGCAGCGTGCGCCTGGTGAGGCTACCAAGGACAAGACATGTGCTGCACCGGCCCCTATACAGCCGGTCGCGGCTTCTCCAGATGAGAGCCTGGAGGCGAGAATTGTACGGCAGATCGGAGACATTTTTAATGTCCGACTTGCCGCAATTGAGGAACGGCTCGCACAACCCGGCAAGAGGAAGCCGGCACGCAATGCGAAAGCCGCAAGGAGTGCCTCGCAATCCGCTCCGCGAGCACCGAAGGCACCAACCCAGAGTAGGGACCGGGCAACTCAACCGGTTCCAGCTGGCGATCCGGGCACGAGTCGCGCCCCGCCGCCGTCCGCTAGTACAACAACGGAGCAGTGGACGACGGTCGTTCGGCGCGGCAAGCGTCGGAAGAAGACCCCAGCGAAGGAGGCCCCCGCCAGTCAGGCGGCACAAGGGAAGACGGCGCCTGCCACGGCACCGGCGCCGAAGCCAAAGAAGAAGAGGAAGAGAAGATTCCGTCTTCCGCGCTCGCAGGCAGTCGTTATCACTCTGCAGCCCGGCGCGGAAGAAAAGGGTATAACCTATGCGACAGTGTTCCGAGAGGCCCACAGCAAGCTCTCACCGACCGAACTCGGAATCACCGATGCCAGGTTCAGATTAGGCGCCACAGGGTCGCGTATACTGGAGGTGCCAGGCGCCGATTCAGGCGTCAAAGCAGACCTGCTGGCCAATAAGCTGGCAGAGATCCTGCCGGAGGGGGCCGTCAAGATTTCCAGGCCGATCAAGTCGGCTGAACTGCGAATAAGGAATCTTGACGACTCGGCTACACCTGCCGAGGTCATTGCCGCGGTTGCGCGGGAAGGTGGTTGCGACGAGGCCCTCATCAAGACGGGGAGATCCGTCGCGCTCCCTCGGGAGTCGGCTCCATATGGGTTCGCTGCCCAGTAAGTGCTGCCAAGGCCCTGTCCAAAGCCGGCCGGGTAAAAGTGGGCTGGGTAATGGCTCGGGTTCAGACATTAGAACCGAGGCCCATGCGGTGCTACCGCTGCTTGCTCTCTGGGCACGTAGCGCAGTGGTGCACCGCCAGTGTGGACACCAGCGGGGGCGTGTTGTGCTTCCGCTGCGGAAAAGCGGGCCATAAATCCGCTCAGTGTACTGCGCAGTCGCCAGCTTGCGGTTTCTGCGCCGCGGAAGGTCGAAAATCCGACCACAGAGTAGGCAGCACAGCAAAGTGCCGTCCACGGAAGGCTCGAGCTCCGGCGCGAGATAGCCGTGTAGGCGGCGAGGCGATGGATACCTAGCGGTGCAATTTACACGCCGTCGGGAGTCCATCGGCTCCGATAGTGATCTCCAGGGCGGAGGATGGCGGGAGACGTCCGAAGCCCATTGTGTGGTAGGAGATCCGAGAGTCATGCGCTGCGTATTCCCGGCGCATCACTCAGAGAAGCCCTGTAAAGGGGGCGGCGCTGCTGGTGGTGTGGATGATTGCGAAAGCGTACCCAGACCACCGGTGCGAAAGCGCCAAGAGGAATACCGGGGGTTTTTTTTTTTAGTGGGTAAGAATCCCACAGTATCCACCGTCATCCCGCTGGCGGTGGTTCTCTTTCTGAAGATTTTCCCCTCGTTAAAAAAAAAAAAAAAAAAAAAAAAAAAAAAAAGGTTAGGTTAGGTTAGGTTAGGTTAGGTTAGGTTAGGTTAGGTTAGGTTAGGTTAGGTTAGGTTAGGTTAGGTTAGGTTAGGTTAGGTTAGGTTGGGGTGCTGGGTCGGAAAACCTCCAAGAGTGCCCTGGCTCATTGTACGGTCACTTGTCCTGGTGCGGATACGTCCGGCGGGAACGGTGGCTGACAATGGCTGGGGCCTGGTGCATCCTGGGCAACGGCGGTAAGTGACTTCTCGCTATTTAGAGATCTCACTTACCGACGGCTAATATTCCGACACGAGGTGGTGAGCGGCGAGCCCAAGTTATGGGGTTTGTCGTGTTTTTGTTGGGGGCGGGTTTTGTTCCGCGACTTCTCGTAGTGGGAGTGGTCGGCGGGCCCGGTGAGTGCTTCGTTGCGCAGCCGGGCTGGTTTCAGTGCCACCGCCGAAAAACCGTAATCCCTCGCGGAGGTGTGGTCATGTTTCGCACCCGAGTGAGGGGACGGGGGCCTTGGCTTAACCGCCTGGGCCGCGAGGAGTAAACCTCTATAAAAATCCTCTTGTGTAAGCTTCGGTGCCTGGCGATGCATAGTTCGTTGTGCGGTGCACGCTACCGGACATTAAAAGTTCGGTTAGCGTGTTCTGTGCTGCGGGCGGGTCGGTGGAGTATCATCGGCCGCAAGGGCACCAACCTCGGGGTATCTGCCGCACCCCGTTGTATGTAGGCCGCACGCAGAAGCAGGGGCTCCCCTGCGTGTGAAACCTTTCCCCCATACTCGTGGGAACAAGTATGGATATGTCAAAAACAAAACCCAAAATTGATGTCGTGTCCGAGAAGGACGGTGAGAAGTCGGTGCCCGCGAAGGGCGGAGAGAAGTCGGTGCCCGTGAAGGGCGGTGTTAGTAAAAAGAAGTCGGAAGTGGAGGTTCTGAAAGAGTGCTCCGTTGTACTGGGCGAGGATGTTGTGGAGTTAGGTCGCCGTCGCACTCGTCACAGCTTGTTGAGGGCGGTTGCGGGCGAGACCGACTGCGGGTCTTCGCGGTCGAGCTTGTGCGCATCCCCAATTGATGAAGGCATGGAGACGGAGCAGTTGCCGTCCACATCTGGACTACGCTCCTGGCGCAAAAGGCGTCTTAACGAGTCCGATACGGACTCCACGGTCGAGGATGAGGGCGATGTCCAATCCGTCCGCAAAAGGTCCGGCAGCCCTAGAGTGGGATCGAGAGCCAGTTCGATCGCTAGAAAGAAGGAGGAGTGTCGGCAATTCATATACCGATTTTTCGAAGATGAAGGGACAGCCGCTGGCAAATCTGGTCTGCCCCCAGTGACGGTCTTAGATTATCACGAGAGTGATTTCTTTTCTTCCGGAGATGAGGAGCCAGACAAACCGACGGAGCTGGACAGGCCGACGGCATCTGGCGCCACTGCCACCGCTGCCGCCGGTGACAAGAACAAAGTGGCCGAGGAGGTACTCCATAGGGCGAAACTTCTCGTCCATCGGCAAGCGGATGCTCTTAGCGACGTCGTTAAGAAGGCGGGAAATCTCAAAGGGACCAGGTTATAAGGACCCTGAAAGAGGGTTTGGCCGGGATCACACAGGTTGTGGACACCTTGGAGGGGGATCTATTTCCGACGTCGGTCTCTCCACTGGTCTCAAAGAACCTGAGACTTGAGCAGGAAGTCGAGTACCTGCGTCGGCAGTTGGCCGAGGCTCGTGCTGCCAAGCCAGCTGCCAAGCCAGCGGCCCAGGCCGGTATCTCGGCAGACGGTGTTCCTGTTGTAGGAAGTGATGCGAGCGCATTCCGTGCTCAGATAATGAGAGATGTCGGCGGCATCGTCCGCCAAATGGTAGGGACATTTATGAGAGAGGTGAGAGAAATGATCTCCATTCGCCCCCTCCAGAGAAGGTGTCGTCCTCGTCTGCGGTCTCCACGCAAACTTTGCCCGAGGCCGGGACAATGGCGTCAGATGTGCCCGACACCCCTAGAGTCGGCGACCGGGGTTCTGTTCCCCAGTCAGAAACGGGTCGGGCCAAGAAGAAGAAGGCGAAGAAGACGCCCGTCTCACCGGCGCCCTTTGGACAGCCCGAGCCGGTGGCTTCGACCTCCGCTCAAACGTCTGTGCAGCCGACCGCGTCCTCCTGGGCGACGGTCGTAAAAGGAAAACGGGGCAAGACCGTCAGTGTTCCCGAAGGGCAGCCTGTGGCTGCGAACCCTCCGGTGACGAAAGCCGGTTCGGCCCCCTCGAAGAAGGCAAAGAAGACGAGCGCACCTTCGCCTTCTAAACTGAAACCGCCTCGCTCCGCGGCGGTGATTATTACGTTGGACCCGGAGGCGGAAAGGGAGGGTGTCGCGTATGCGAATGTCTTTGCGGAGGCCAAGAGAAGGATCGATCTCCGCGCATTGGGGATCGAAGATATGCGGTTTCGCACCGCGATCACCGGCGGTAAGGTCCTAGAGGTCCCAGGTGCTGATGGCGCGGAGAAGGCCGACGTTCTGGCGTCGAAGCTCCGGGAGTTCATCCCGGAGAATATGGCCAAAATCTCCAGGCCCGTAAAGTCCGCGGAGATGCGGATATCGGGCCTGGACGACAGTGTTACGTCGGAGGAAGTGGCCGCTGCGGTTGCCCGGGAGGGCGGCTGTCAGGTGGACCAAGTGCGAGTCGGAGAGGTTCGACGTACTAGATCTGGGGTGGGCACTTGCTGGGTTAAAGGTCCGTTGCAAGTCGTTAAGAAGATGACGGTCGCCGGCCGAGTTCGTATAGGCTGGGTTTCGGCGAAAGCAGAGCTCCTGCGGCAGAGGCCGCTTCGGTGCTTCCGCTGCTTGGAGGAAGGACATGTGCGGGCATCCTGCAGTCATGAGCAGGACCGCAGCGGTCTATGTTACCGCTGCGGAAACGAAGGCCATAAGGCGGCGATGTGCGCGGCCGACCCAAAGTGCGCTGTGTGTTCAGCGCAGGGCCGGCCGTCGGACCATTGGGTGGGGTCCAAGGCCTGCACTCCTCCTAAGAAGCGTAAGAAGCAACCGGTGAAATTGCCGAACCCAGCAGGCCGGGTGAGTGTGGAGTGAGAGGAGATGGAAACGGGCAGGTAGTCCCGCCCTCCTCTCCGGCGATAATTACATCGCCACAGGGCCGGGGTGACGACTGCGGGGGCAGTCCCACCCCACACCAACATGGCCCTGGGAAGTCGCGCGCGCCTCCCCGCGCGCTTCCCCTAGACGGGGGTGGGTATTCAACATCTCGTACCCGCCCCAAACTGAGTCGGGGCCCGCGAGCCGGTGCGGGCCAACGCCGTTGGGATCCCGGTGGACTACGCAAGGGAACCCGGGTCCCCAACATTAAGGCGCGGCGAGGGAATGCCATGTGGTTTTTAGCCGGTAGGAGTCCGGCAGTATTCCCACCCTCCCCCGGGGGTGTGTCTCTGCATGACGCATTTTCCACATGTAAAAAAAAAAAAAAAAAAAAAAAAAAAAAAGGTTAGGTTAGGTTAGGTTAGGTTAGGTTAGGTTAGGTTAGGTTACAGGTTAGGTTGGGGTGCTGGGTCGGAAAACCTCCAAGAGTGCCCTGGCTCATTGTACGGTCACTTGTCCTGGTGCGGATACGTCCGGCGGGAACGGTGGCTGACAATGGCTGGGGCCTGGTGCATCCTGGGCAACGGCGGTAAGTGACTTCTCGCTATTTAGAGATCTCACTTACCGACGGCTAATATTCCGACAGAGGTGGTGAGCGGCGAGCCCAAGTTATGGGGTTTGTCGTGTTTTTGTTGGGGGCGGGTTTTGTTCCGCGACTTCTCGTAGTGGGAGTGGTCGGCGGGCCCGGTGAGTGCTTCGTTGCGCAGCCGGGCTGGTTTCAGTGCCACCGCCGAAAAACCGTAATCCCTCGCGGAGGTGTGGTCATGTTTCGCACCCGAGTGAGGGGACGGGGGCCTTGGCTTAACCGCCTGGGCCGCGAGGAGTAAACCTCTATAAAAATCCTCTTGTGTAAGCTTCGGTGCCTGGCGATGCATAGTTCGTTGTGCGGTGCACGCTACCGGACATCATAAGTTCGGTTAGCGTGTTCTGTGCTGCGGGCGGGTCGGTGGAGTATCATCGGCCGCAAGGGCACCAACCTCGGGGTATCTGCCGCACCCCGTTGTATGTAGGCCGCACGCAGAAGCAGGGGGCTCCTGCGTGTGAAACCTTTCCCCCATACTCGTGGGAACAAGTATGGATATATCAAAAACAAAACCCAAAATTGATGTCGTGTCCGAGAAGGACGGTGAGAAAGTCGGTGCCCGCGAAGGGCGGAGAGAAGTTGGTGCCTGAGAAGGGCGTAGAAAGTAAGAAGTCGGGGCTAGAACTCCTGAAAGAGTGTTCGGTAGTACTGGGCGAAGATGTTGGTCTCTTAGGTCGTCGTCGTACTCGCCATAGTCTGTTGAGAGCGGTTGCGGGCGAGATCGACTGCGGGTCTACGCGGTCGAGCTCGTGTGCAACCCCAACTGAGGAGATGGAAATGGAACCGTTGCCGTCCACGTCTGGTCTCCGCTCCTGGCGTAAAAGACACATTGCTGAGTCTGACACAGACTCTATAGTTGAGGATGAGGGCGATGTCCAGTCCGCCCGCAAAAGGTCCGGCAGCCCTAGAGTGGGGTCGAGAGCAAGTTCTCGCACAAGGAAGAAGGAGG